GATCTGCTCACAGATCCCCTGATGATTCGAGAGGACTCCGCTCTATGTGAAAGGTGCTCAATAGCTTCTATTTATAAAAATGTTCCCTCTTCCTACCTATCCTGCCTAATCTGTATAAAATAATGTGTGTACTTGCTTGTTTTTAATCCGCTTTAGTCCAGTCACATGATCCTTCAGCTACAGCCCCCCTGTGTCAGTGAGAGGTTGCTGCAGGGGAGAGGAGGGAGTGCTGACAGTGGTTGGGCTATGGGAGCCTATGCATGATGTTGTGGAATTCCCAGCCTTTCTCAAGCGTTCCCTGAGCTGAAGCTGCAGGATCACATGACAGGACCAGAACAGATTAAAAAAATAGGTAAGTACACAGAACTTTTTTTATACAAGAGAAAATGAATAGGTAAGAGAATGGTGAAGGGAACATTTTTAGGAATAGTTAAGCTGATGATACACATACAGTAGATTTCCGTACGAGAATATTTGTATGATAAGAACATTTTTTGCACATTTGATGAACAGATGAATGTCGTTTTAAAATTGTCTTTTGCTTTTAACATTCGATTTTAAAAAGAATGTACTTTTTGAACAATAACCACATGCACTGTCCAAACATTTATTTGATCAAAAAAAATTTCCTTCCTGCCCATTCAAATAGCCCATTCAAATATGAATCCTTCCTTCCTTCCCTGCCTTTCCTCTCCCTCTCTCTCAATGGTTGTGGGGATCATTTCAAAGGTTCTGCAAGGATCAACGAATGCAGAGGATTCTCCTTCACTTCTGCAGTTGCTCAAGTGGCAATAAAGACAGTCTACCACTCAGCAGCCAGTTTGAGAAAATATATGGTAAAATAAACATTAATCTCTTCAGAACAGACAAAGGTAAACAACTGCAATAAAGTTAGCTAAAAACTCTTAATATTTATGTAGTTCACCTGGACTATGCTTTTCATAACAAAGCCGGGAATTTCAAGAGTGATGGCCAGAAACATGCAAATCATTTTTTGTGCTGCCTGCAGTGTCCAGTTGGTGACTAGTTATACTGTCATATTAGAATGTGTTTTTTTTATAATGATTATTAAAAACATAATCCTCCTTTTGGAAATACAGTGCATCTAGAAAATTTTCACAGTGCTTAACTTTTGCCAAATTTTGTTATGTTACAGCCCTATTCCAAAATGTATTAAATTCATTTTTTTCCTCAACATTCTACAAACAATACCGCATAATGACATTGTGAAAGAAGTTCGTTTTTAAATTTTGCAATTTTTATTAAAAATAAAAAATGAAAAAACCCATATGTACATAAGTATTCACAGCCTTTGCCATGACACTCAAAATTAAGCTCTGGTGCATCCTGTTTCCATTAATCATCCTTGAGATGTTTCCTCAACTTGATTGGAGTCCACCTGTGGGAAATTCAGTTGATTGGACATGATTAGGAAAGGCATAAACCTGTCTATATAAGGTCCCACATTTAACAGTGCATGTCAGAGCATAAACCAAGCCATGAAGTCCAAGGAATTGTCCATAGACCTTCAAGACAGGACTGTATCAAGGCACAGATCTGGGGAAGGGTACAGAAAAATTTCTGCAGCATTGAAGGTCCCAATGAGCACAGTGGCCTCCATCATCCGTAAATAGAAGAAGTTTGGAACCACCAGGAATCATCCTAGAGCGGGCCCACCTGGCCAAAATGAGCGATCAAGGGAGAAGGGCCTTAGCCAGGGAGGTGACCAAGCACATGATGGTCACTCTGAAAGAGCTCCAGCATTTCTCTGTGGAGAGAGGAGAACCTTCCAGAAGAATAACCATCTCTGCAGCACTCCACCAATAAGGCCTGTATGGTAGAGTGGCCAGATGGAAGCCACTCCTTAATAAAAGGCAAATGGCAGCCCGTCTGCAGTTTACCAAAAGGCACCTGAGGGACTCTCAGACAATGAGAAACAAAACTCTCTGGTCAGATGAAACAAAGATTTAACACTTTGGCCTGAATGCCAAGCGTCATGTCTGGAGGAAACCAGGCACCGCTCACCACCTGGCCAATACCATCCCTACAGTGACGCATGGTGGTGGCAGCATCATGTTGTGGGGATGTTTTTCAGAGGCAGGAACTGGGAGACTAGTCAGGATCGAATGAAAGATGAATGCAGCAATGTACAGAGACATCCTTGATGAAAACCTGTTTCCAGAGCACTCTGGACCTTAGACTGGGGCAACGGTTCATCTTTCAACAGGACAACGACCCTAAGCACACAGCCCACATAACAAAGGAGTGGCTACGAGCCAACTCTGTAAATGTCCTGGAGTGGCCGAGCCAGAGCCCAGAATTGAACCTGATTGAACATCTCTGGAGAGATCTGAAAATGGCTGTGCACCGACGCTCCCTATCCAACCTGATGGAGCTTGAGAGATACTGCAAAGGAGAATGGGAGAAATTGCCCAAAAATAGGTGTGCCAAGCTTGTGGCATCATACTCAAAAGGATTTGAGGCTGTAATTGGTGCTAAAGGTGCTTCAAAAAGTATTGAGCAAAGGCTGTGAATACTTATGTATGTGTGTTTTTTTTTAGTTTTTTATATTTAATAAATTGCAAAGATTTCAAAACAAACTTCTTTCACATTGTCATTATGGGGTATTGTTTGTAGAATGTTGAGGAAAAAAAAAGTAATTTAATCCATTTTAGAATAAGGCTGTAACATAACAAAATGTAGCAAAAGTTAGGCGCTGTGAATACTTTCTGGATGCATTATATGTAAAAAAAAAAAAAAAAACATTTTAGCAATTTTTTTGCATTCAGGCCTGTAGAGTATTGCAACTTGTTCAGTATGGATCTTCAGTTATGGAGCTAGAGCAGTGGTCTCCAAACTATGGACCAACGGCCATATACGGCCCTTCTTTAACCTTTATCTGGCCCTTGGGGCACTTTTCCTCCCAATGATATGCGACACTATTCTTTCCACTGACGCCAACAGTGGGGCATAATTCCTGCCACTGACAGTAATGATGGAGCAAAATTTCTATCAGTAGTATCAATCATGGGGCACTATTCCTCCCACTATTATCAATGATAGGGCAATATTCCTTCCACTAGTATTAAAGATGGGGCAGTATTTCTCCCACTAATACCAATGATGGGGCACTACTCCTGCTCCTACTGAGCACCTACCATGAGGTCATGTTTATTCTCATTGATGCTGGGCCTGGGACATTTATTAGCCCACTGGCCACAATCCGGCTCCCCTAGAGTCTGAAGGTCAGTAAACTGGTCCTTTGTTTGAAAAGTTTGGAGACCCTTGGGTTAGAGGAAATTGCTGAATGAACTACAATGCAAAAGTGATTCCACTGCCCCACTGTCAGTGCGTTCTGCTGAGCCCCTTTGCTATGGTAGGAAATAACACCTGTGGTATTTTATTTCAGCAATCCCTGTAAGTTGGTGATGCAGCTAAGTAGGTGGAGCTACACATAGCCATGCTGAATTAAAAAAAAAAAGCAAGGTCAAGAAGCACCCTGCGATTCTGGTAAAGGGTGAATGGCATTGTGTTTATGGGCATGGTGTATGCTACCATACTTCATGTTATACTCTAAGAATGGGAGTTACATGACACATGGTCCAAAATGTGGACTATGCCATTAATAGATGTGGGCCCAAAGAAAAGTAGTCTTTAAACAAAGATACTGAACATAGAAATTGTGCTAAACCTGCAGTTACAAAGTATCCACAGCTGGTGGTTACAACAAAGGCTAACTATTAAATAACCTTGGCATGAAGGTACAAAAAAACAATAGAAATGGGTGTCATGCTAAGACTCTCCCACTCTTTGTTGGTATTTGTAACCCCTTAAATGACTTTAACTTTGATAAAAGTTGGAATACTAGATGTACCTGGAAAGATTGTAAATACGTCTCAAGGTACTGGTGCCATTGAATGCTGTTTCTTTAAAGAGAAATTGTATGCTGATCTTCTATGTGTTCTCTGCACTCGATAGTTTCTCTCATTGTCCCCAACAACATCACAGAACACAGTAGAGATGTAAGGACTGGCAGAAGGAACCACTGAGTGCAGCAGGGACACAGGAGATTGACAGTCCCTGCAGGGTTGGTTTACGCCAAGACTTCAGTGGATGAATGTCTGGTAAAGAATGGGAAGTACCTGGCAGGGTAAGTATATTTAAGTGGCAGGGTGTCTTTAAACAACAGTGTACCAGTACTTTTCTACAAGTCCTATCTGAGTGACAGTGCCAACAGGAGAATCGGACAGCATTTACTGGAAGTGGCAGCCAAGTCACAATCGCCAAGAGATTGAGCAAAAGTCCTGCAGTCCTTTAAGGAACCTGAATGAGCAAATGTCCCGCAGTCCCCCAACCTGATTTTTGGCTACAGTTCAGAATTTATTCATATAGCCCTAACCCTAAACACTTGGAACATCAGTTGTGTGTCCCATGCTCAAACTTCACAGGATGGGTGAATCTGTAAATCTGAACACTTTATTGCAATTGAATGTTGGTCTTAAATCAATGGCCACACTGCTGGCTAATTTGCTCAGCAAATGGGAAACATGATCCAAAAGGCCCCTTACTAGTGCACTTCTGCAAACTCAAGAAGCTCATGTTGAAGTGATTTAAAGAAATACCATACTTACCTTTAGGGAAATATGGTCATACACTATATAGACAAACGTACTGCCTTTTCATGCACATGAATTTTATTGGCATCCCAGTCTTTGTCTGTAGGGTTCACTATTGAGTTGGCCCACCCTATAATCCCCCTGCACCAAATTTTACACTTGGCACAATACAGTCAGGCAAGTACTGTTCTCCTGGCAACCGCCAAACCCAGACACATCCTTCAGATTGCCAGACAGAGAAGCGTGATTCGTCACTCCAGAAAACACGTCTCCACTGCTCTAGAGTCCAGTGGCAGCGTGCTTTACGCCACTGCTTCCGACAGTTTGCATTGCACTTGGTGATGTAAGGCTTGGATGCAGCTGCTCGGCCATGGAAACCCATTCCATGAAGCTCTCTGCGCACTGTTGTTGTGCTAATCTGAAGGCCACATGAAGTTTAGAGGTCTTTAGCTATTGACTCTGCAGACAGTTTGTGACTGTGCGCTTCAGCATGCACTGACCCCGCTCTGTCATTTTACGTTGCTCTTGTTCCCAGTTGTTTCCACTTTGTTATAATACCACTAACAGTTGACTGAGGAATATTTAATAGCAAGAATATTTCACAGATGGACTTATTGCACAGGTGGCAATCTATCATTGTACCATGCTTGAATTCACTGAGCTCCTGAGAGCGACCCATTCTTTCACAAATGTTTGTAGAAGCAGTCTACATACCTAGGTGCTTGATTTTATACACCTGTGGGCATGGTGGTAAATGCAACACCTGAAAACAATACTTTTTGCACTATAGTATATTTCCTTATCATGGTTATTATGTCACAGGAAACATATGTAGGGGCCCTGCCATAATGTGGGCCTTCTTTGTTCTGAATTTAGGGGGGTGTTCCCAGCAGATAGCGTAAAGAGTAATGGATATCAATTTCCTCCTGGCCAACAGCTAGGAGGTTTATTGCCAGTGATGCATGCTGGGGACCGAGATAAATATTTGAGGTGACTTTCCAGAAAGGTCTCTGGGTCTTTTGTCTCCTAGCCTGCGCCAGAGTAAAAGGATCTTCCCTCCCATGCCTTTGCCTGGAGAAGATGCCAGTCAGTCCTTGCCCCCTGGGCCCCTGCTAGGAAGGAGGTCTTTGCCTCCCAAGCTTGCTGCTTGGAAAGGTGTTGCTAAGGAAGGACCAGATCTAAAATCCCAAAAATACATGGGCCTATGCCTTGGGGCCTGATGGAGTTTTGCTGTCCTTCTGGGGGTACATCTTGAGGAAGCAGAGCAGGAAGATGACTGCTTGTATGGAACATTTTTGGAGGAAAATTCTGTGCCAAAGAGTGTTCTGGAGAGCTGTTGCCAGAGGTCATTGCAAGAAGTCCTCACTGCTTATCCAATACGGTACCTGTGATTATTTGCATTGAGTTTCTTCTTGGCTACTCTTAATGGGACAACTGCCTACTTTACTAGAGAAATCTGGAGCTGTGTTTGCCTGTTTGGGGGTGTCCTATGCCCTAAATCTTTCTCCTGGACTCTTAAAACTTTCAAAAGAGACTGGTGCCCAATTTTCTGTCATGCACAAAATGTCACGAGTCCCACTTTGATTGTTGAAATGCTAGCCCACCAAGTCATTGCCAACTGTCCAGAGGTAAGGGGTGATACACATGGAATCTCTCCTGTAGACCTAAATAGATCCCACTTCCTGAGGGATCTTGCAGGGGAGGGTGTATTCTGCAATGCACATGCTATGAACTAGCAAGCACTATTCTCTGATTGGCAGCCATGGGCTGCTGCTCTTTGTACATCTTCATTGTTCCATGTAGCGCTACTGAAAAATAGTACCTATAGGCATGAGATGGCAGTTATCCAGTTGTTATTTTTGCTCCCTCTCCACCCTCCTCCAATGGCATGCTGCCCTGAAATTCCACACTGTTCATTCATAGAACACCCCCAGAATGTGATCATCTGCACATGTCATGATTGGCTGCTTTTTCCAGCATTTTTTCTTTTGTTACACTTCTGTGGCTGATCATGTGATTGCAGCAGATGGACCCTCCCATTCTGCACTCACAAAGTAGAAAATTACTGCAATCCATTTGTCATGTTCAGCAGAAACAAGTGGAGCTGCACTTTAAGCCTGGCTATGATTTAAAAACTTGCCACAGGGTTACAACCATCCACAAGCGTACAGAATGTTAATAAAAATGCGGGTTAATTCAGGCAATCTGTAAAGTGAAAGAAAAAAAAATGTAACAAGTATTGATTTTTTTCATGCATTTAAGTATAAGCTAGAAAGAAATACACTTAACCCTGCAGCACTTAAGCGTAGCCCCTAATTTGCCCATGGCTGTATTTAGACATCGTGTTGCTTAGGCACACCTAAATGATGATGCCCATTTGTACAAGCTTTCCAGCCCTGTGTTACGGTTATTTCAGTATAATTGCTGTTAAAATGAGCTATTGGAGACAGCATGGTGTCTGCTTTATATACAGTATCTGAAGAAGAGGAAGGAGAGCTGGGTTCATTTGTTCTAAATTCAAAGAGCTTTCTGACTCCTTTCATCACCCCAGAGGTCTCTTTCACCTGCCATTGTCATGCTCAGTTTAGCCACAAATGTCCAAAGGTGGCCAGAGGGAAACAAATAAAGAAAAAGTAACTACAGTTGTCAGATTGCAAATGTTAAGTCTTAGTGCTTCACCTTGAACCCTGCTTACCCTACTATAGGTTTGGGAGTGCCATAGCAATTACAGCCCTGGTCCCAACGCTATAAAAAAATTATTCACACTTGTGTCTCATAAGACTAGTATTTTTATTTAAAGAATACTATGTAACACCTAATGTGAACATTTACAACAATCCTCCCACTCACCTTATCCTTGAAAATAACATTAGATTAACCCCTAAAAGTGAATTCTATACTCCATACAAGTTTGCTTAAAGTTGAACTCCAGGCATACATAAAATAGACAAACTAATGCAACAATACAGTATAGCTGGAGTGTGAAAAGAAGAATCAGTACAAGGAGCCAATCCGTTCATGTGCTGACTAGGAACATGCTGAAAGGGGGAGAAAGAAGAGTGGCAAAGAAGTGAACTACTCACTGTGTGGCTTTTGCTTTCATAGTCCAGTCACAGCCTGGGGGTGGATTCAGGATGGCTTAAGCTTAGAGGAAATGGGCTGCTAGCCATAAGACTGAGGACAGAAAAAAGCACTGCTGAGGAAATATCTGAAATGAAGGCAAATATTGCAGCAAAAGCTGGATTTTCTTTTTTTATTATCTTTAATGTGCCATTCATTTTTATGCAGCACACTGCACTGTTACTGATTGCAGGATGTTTATTAACCAGAAGATGGCAGTATTCTGCAGTTTAGTTATTACAGACTTTAATATAACAAAGCAAAGCATTCTTGAACTTGTGTGCTGATAGCAGGACTTCTGTACCTTGACAAGTTAAAACAGACTACATTTCCCAGAAGAGCTGGCAAAGGTGTGGGAGCCTATAAAATCAGGAGCCCGGGAACTTATGAGGGAGGAAGGAAGGAGACTGTGAGAGGGTGAGGATTAGCGAGAGAAGCTAGTGCGGCAACTCAGAGGACCCAGGCCTGGTTGGGTCACACCAGAGAGCCAGAAAGAGGGACTACAGATCGCTGGCATTGCTGACAAGCAGGAGATTCGACCATGCAGTCATATGGATTGTGGTATCATGAACAGCATCAATTCTACTGAAGCCTACTCCCTCCCCTTTCTCAACTTTACCTTCTTGAATTCTTCTTCTGTGTTAAAGGGACCTTCCCCAGTTTGTTTACCATCTTGCTAGTTGGACCTTCTCTTACTACTTTACATTGTTTGGGAGATCTTGTTTCCATCCAAGAGGATTTCAACTCTAATGTGCATCAACTAGGGCCCCATCAAGCTCACAGAAAAATCTGTTTCTATACTTGGGAGTGATGCTAAAGGGGACGTTATCACATGAAAATTCGTCTTGAGAGTTAAACCCTGTTTCTAGTCATTGAGAACCCATAAGTGAGTTAGTCTGACTTCTCTTTATATTCTATTTCAGCTCACTTTGGGAAAAAAAAAACATCATCTCAGTGCTGAATTAATGTTTAAACTCTGGTCCTGCAGCACAATCTGGTTTATTTAAAGTGATACTGTGTAAGTTCCTTTTGTGTTTTTATCTTTTGTATACACCTACCATTGTTTCTTGTGTGCTTTCATTACTCTTACTCTAACTTCAATACAATCAGATCATTGGTTCACCTTAAATTGTGAGAATATTTTGTGTTTCACAGCCAGGGGGTTCTCCTAGTCAAGGGTATACAGTGGTGTCAGCAGGGGTGGAGCGCCAATCGGGGGACCTAAAAATACTGAGCGACTTCTAAGGGGCTACATTTATCTTATATTTTTTGGCTGGAGATCCACTTTAGTGTATATTAAACCAAAACCTTTTTTGTTGTTTTGGATGCAGTGGGTAAAGGTTGAAACCCCTTTCAAGTTTTATTACTGTCTGTATTTGAATTTGCCATATTCCCCTTCTCTATTAGTCCTGGTGACCAGATTTAACATCCCTTTATGTCCTACTGCCAATCAGTTCCCAAGACAACTGCCACCTTCCAGCTTTCTCTGGACATAGTCCAATGAGTGAAACGGCACCTCTCCAGACCAGATCCCTTGGGGTGAGGTTCTGCAATCAGCTCACAGCAGAGTCCATCCAGGTCCTCAGCCCTGTCATCGCTGAGGCCTCTAGAGCAGCTGTTCAATTCATGAATTGCTTGAGGGCAGCAGCCCCTCCAGCTCTGGAACCCTCCTGAGAAGAAGGAACTTTGCTCTTCAGTGTTTAATCACCATTCTAGCTCCCTTCTGGACTCTCTTTTTCCAGGGATTAGCTGGTCATGTTGAGTCTCCCACCTTAAGCTCTGGAAGCTACTTCCAAAGGCAGGGGGAAGCAATCAAACTCCCAGCCTGTGAAACCCTGAACAGACCAGGCCAGACAATTGTTGTTCCCTTGATTAAAGAAGGAGCCAAAAACTAAATTTACCTAGCATCTTACACTAGGAGAGCGCTACATATACTTAAAGTGGTGCTCCAGCAAAATGGGAAGTTCCGCTTTAAGGAGTCGTCTCCCGCACCTTTGGGGAGCGGGTACCCAATTTTGACAGGCACCCCCTCCCACTTCTGCTTCGACCGTCTAGGCGATCGGAAGTGGAAGTTCTCACGCCGCCAAACCCCCCACCCCCCTCCCCGCCTACAGTCTTCTGGGACACGTGACAGGTCCTTGAAGACTGCGGTAGCATTCACAATGTTCATGCATGCACAGTGGGCACCCAGCTCTGAGCCCCCAAGCTGTCACAGCCGGGTGCCCACAGTTAAGATGTCAGGGAAAGAGGAAGACTGGTGAACCCGTCTGCGGTGAGCACATTGCCGGATCGAGGGACAGGTTAGTGGCTGTTTTTAAAAGTTAGCAGCTACAGCATTTTCAGCCACTGACTTTTATTTTTTTCACAGGAGACTGGACCTCCACTTTAAAGAAAACCTGCCATTCAGCCTTCTAGCAGACAATTGTTGTTCCCTTGATTAAAGAAGGAGCCAAAAACTAAATTTACCTAGCATCTTACACTAGGAGAGCGCTACATATACTTAAAGTGGTGCTCCAGCAAAATGGGAAGTTCCGCTTTAAGGAGTCGTCTCCCGCACCT